GTGATATAGAACATCAATTACAACCTAGTGATCGGTGTGATGGTGTGCTGTGTCGGTGTCCGTTTGTGTGTGTAGTTTGTCGTGTCTGTGTGTGTGCTGCGTATGTCATCTGTCTGGGATTACATTTGATTTCTTTATATTTTGTGTGTGTTTGATGTGTTGGTGTGTTGTGTGAGGGTTAATTTGCGTGAGTGTGTGTGCTGTGTGTGTGTGCGTTGTGTGTGTTGTGTGGGTGTGTGGTGGTGTGTGTGCGGTGATGCGAAATTGCAGTTAGCATATATATATATATAGAGTATATTATATATATACATATAGCTATTTTACCTAGTATTATACTATCATATGGGTGTCGTGTGTTGGTTGTTGCGAGCAGTGTGTGTGTGTGATAGTGTGTGTGTGTGTCTGTTTTGTGCTGTGTGTGTGTAATTGTGTGTTTGTGTATTGTGCGATGGTGTCACAACACAACACACAAACACTACCACATAATGTATGTTATGTAAAAATAGTGTATATAGAATACATATTTTTCCGGTCACATGTTCCCTTAAGACTGTTTTCCATCGCATGCTACTTCACACAAGTTTGGATTCCCCAATAGACTTTATTTCAGTCTTATCCTAGCTTAAGCAGGTTTGAATCCTGTATACGTTATGTGCGGCCTTCTTGTTCCTTATGCAAATCTGAATCCCTTATAGACTATGGTTGCGGTCTTCTACTACTTTAGACAGGTTTGGATCCTCTTATAGACTGTGTTTTCGGATTTATACTACCGGACGTGACATCGGGGACGCCGCATGGATTCCCGCGAGCATTATGACATTTATGACGACCTTGGTTTATTAGTGTTTTGAAATACTTTTACGGTCTTGTAAGATTAAGAGGATGGGTTATTTTTAAGGGAGTTGTGTTTTTGAAGACGTGTTTTAGAGGATTAAGTGATGTAAAATTTGTTTAAATATTTTTAAAACCCCTGTTGTATTTGAATAAACTTAAAGAAAAAACGGTTGGGTATAGATGTACATATGCGTACACACATACGCGCGCGCACACACACACACACACACACACACACACACACACACACACACACACACACACACACACACACACACACCACACACACACACACACACACACACCACACACACACACACACACACACAACACACACACACACACACACACACACCACACACACACACACACACACACACACACACAACACACACCATATATAATATATATATATATATATATATATATATATAATATATATATTATATATATATATATATATATATGCTTTAAGCATACACTTAATGACATCAATATCAACTGCACATATGCATGCACCGCGTCCTACGCCAGAGACGGCAGAGCCAAGACCCTCGAGTCCCCCGAAAGCGAGAGCCTCGAGCGGGAAAAACTCGGGAGGACAAGGAAGTGGCGGGACATCTTTACGCGTCCGGGTCGGGCCCTGAACCTCCCGAAGCACTCCAGGTTGGGGAGAGGACGCCGCAATCACCGGCCAGAAAAAGAGTCAATTACCCCAATTGTTCGGCGGCGGAAACGACGGCAGAGCAAGCGAGGGAGGGGGCGCTGCACACGCGAGCGCCGGCTCTTAAATTTCCCCCGGAGGTGGCGGCGGCGGCGGCGGAAGGCGGCGGACTGTGGCCTCCGCGGAAGAAATTAGTGGGACTTTTCCCTCGTAATTAAATGTGATAAAGAGGGAGTCGCGTGATACTTAGGACTCCCCCCCCCCCTCTCTCTCTTTCCTCCTCCTTTCTTTTCTGTCCCTGTTTCCGCTTTCTGTCCCGCCCCCTTACCCAGGCGCTCTTGGCGGAGGAATACATGGCGCTGTCGGATACGGTCTTATCTCTTCACCTCTCCTCTCTTTCCTTGTGTTCTCTTCCCTATTTCTTTCTTATTTGCCTTTTGTCTGCTCCTTTTCTAAGTTCTACCTTAATTTCACGAGACTCAGAAGACTAATTTATCCGCCGTGTTTCCTTCGCCGCAATTTCGGACCACCTGCTGATCGGACGGCTCTCGTCTTTCAGTTTTCCCTTCTTTCTCTTCTATGTTTATCCGCTGATCTCGTAATTGTTTTCTTTTGTTTTGTTTTTTAATATTTTTTGCTTTTTTCTTTTCTGCCATGATTTTAAAGAGATCCAAATATCGCTGCAGATTTGGGACACCAGCTGATGTCTTTATATTCATTCACTATCTCTTTTGAAGTTATTTTTTATGCTTTTTCCCTTTTTGATTCTTGTGCCATTTTTTTCTTTAGTTCTACCCAATATCCCAAGATTCTAAAGACTGACCTAGTCCTCGTGTTTCCCTCCTCCATCTTTCTCTTTCGATCTATTCACTATCTATTTATAGTTTTCTATTTACGATTTTCCTTTTTTTTTTTTTACGACTTTTTTCTGAAGTTCTAAAGCAATTTCACAAGAGATCTCAAAAAAGACTAATCAACTCTACTTGTTTCCTTTCGCCAATG